AACAAAGTTCCCCGCTGACTGAGCTGGAACATTTGTATTTTTGCCTTCATCTATTCAAAGTTGCTTCCCTGTCCCTGCTCCCTCTAGGTATGTTGACCATCTTGGGATCTCTGCTCTGCTCAATAAATCATCAGAGTATTGGCCCAAGAAATACAGATATAGAGGGATTTTCTAGTTGTGTCTGTTTGTGTTGCTCCATTCTAATAAACCCCAGAGGTCTAAAATCCCTCACTGTCTCAGCATTAAAATCATCATCTTTAAAATTTAAGATCATGCAGAATTTTGGAAATTTTCTGAAATTCAGGTTTAATTTGGAAGATTGTTCTTAAAATGAATTGCGAAAAACTAAATGCTGCATTGAATCGCACGTGGAATATCACACATTTACACTCATAGATCATTGAAATACATCAAAGAAAAATCAGCCATCGGATGAAGTGTTCCTGATAATAATCAGGCTTTTCCTGAATACTGTACTGCTTTTCCTCTTTGGTTTTGATGGATTTCCTGTGTACATTGGAGGCAATCAAAGTTTCCTCAACTCTGCTTGTAGTTTTGCTGCTGCAATGTTTATTTTTTAAGAAAGAAATTATGGCAGATGTCTGTATAAAACTACAAGCAAAAGTTACCACCAAAGCTTAGCCAAAATTCTCAAAAGATGATTATTATAAAGAATAATTACTCTTTGCCGCATTTGATATAGCACCTACAGCGTTGAAATGTCTCAAAGTGCTTTATAAAGAATTGGTGTGAAGTGGTTAACACTTTTGATAGGGAGAGAGTTAAAGATGTATATTTCAGCCAGGGTTTTGAAGGTAAATGAACAAACAAATGACATAAGGTGCAAAATTGTGGAGACCTGCACATTTTCCCTACTCAACCTTCCTTATGATTAACTATATTTATGGGAAAAATAAACTCAAAGACTACAGATATGGGAGTGCAGATTGATGTATCATTCATGCATTTGTCTCTTTTTAGTTAGAGAACAGTAACACATTGGAGCGCAGGAGTGGAAAGTCCCAACATTTTTCAAACTCACACACACACGCAATTGTTTCTGTTATATAAATAGAGGCACTGGCTCTATGATAGGGTTTGTTTGACACTATTAAAACAGCTTGGTTTTCTTTTTGTGGTTTAAAATTTCAACCAAACACCTGAATGGGTTCAGCATTGTCTCCACCTCCAACATATCCATCATTTCTACACTCATAGTCTAAAAACACATAATATGTACGTATTGTGCCCTGAGCAATATTTTCCACTGAGCGCTTCAGTGTTATTCAGCGCAATGAAGAGTGGAAGGACAAGGGTTTAAATGTTGTTTTGCTCAGCAGTAAGTGAGGGAGGGGCCAGTTATCTTCTTCAGTGTCCCTCAATGTAGGTGTGTGTGTTTGGGTGGGGGGGGAACTGGAGAGGGTAATGTGCTTCATATCAGTGAGGCTTCCACAATTGGTCCCAATGCTGGGGGGAGGGAAGGGTGGAGGAGAAAACCAAAGTTCCCCTTAATCACTAACCTCTGCTGGAAGATGCAAGTATGTGATTGTCAGGTGAAGACACTATTGTTTTCAGACACGGTATCAGCGGGCACAGTGGTAACATTCTCACCTCTGGGTCAAATACAAACTCTACATTTTGAAGCGCCAATACAGCACTAGAGTCAGTATCTTTTGGGTGACCTCCAATGATGCAACAGCCAAAAGGTTGTCAGTTCAAGGTCCCAGTGGAGAGGGGTGTAGTGCATTGGTGCCATCTTTCTGGAGAGACGTTAAACTGAGGTCCAATCTGTTAATGCAGGTGAATGTTAAAGATCCTGTGGCACTATTGAAAAAGTGAAGGGAGATTGATTGTCCTGGTCAACAATCCCCTATATAAAAATTGGTTACTTCATGACTGTTTGTTGGACATTGCTGTGCACAAACTGGTTGCTGCATTTGCCTACAAATACACAGTCACTCCTACCGTAAAATCCTATGAAGCACTTTAAGACATCTCAACGATATGCTAAGGCATTGTACTAAGTTCAAGATTTATTATATACTGTATTGGGCTTGGCTGTGGTGTTTCCCGTTGTTGAATAACTTGCTGACACTTATTGTCTGGGCTCACACAAGAATAATGACCACTTTAGATGTATTATGATTGGACTCAGGAATCCACAACCAGATTATGTTGTACCTCCAGCATCAATGTAAGCCCCCGCCCGATAGAAAGTGCAGTATAATCAGGCTACGAGTGCAGTCCTAATCATCGGGTGAGGGAGGTGGTTTTACCCACCGTTTATAAATATTCCCCCTCCATGTTCTCTCCTCAGCTGAAGGCGTTGATTTGTGTGGGAGTGCATTTCTATAAGTATTAGCTATCACAAGTGCCCTTACTTTAGCCACAATGTCCTTACTCTCCCAAACAACTTCACTAAATCTCTCTGGCTCATCTCCTTTAAGTTATTGTTCATGACTGTGCACACACACACAGATGACATGTAGAGGTGTTATCTACTCTCTTTGGTGATTCAAGTGTATGCTAAAGATCCCATGGCATTACTTGGAGGAAGAGCAGGAAATTCTCCTGTGTTCCGCCCAATATTCCTCCTTCATCACGAGCACAGAATAAGATAAATCAATCATTCATCTCATCCCAGTAGGTGGGTTGTCGATAATGCAGACTAGCTATTTGATTTACCTACAAAGCAACAGTAACATGTGAAGTATCGTGTGCTGTATTCTGGTTACAAGGAATGTTATTTATATAAGATCAAACTCACACATTTATGTATATAATATGAAAAGAAAAATAAATGATTTGAGTTTTTAGTGCTCCCTATTACACCTCAGGCTGCTTTATGGGTAATTCCTGCCCAATGTAGTGGCTGCTTTTGTAGGTTAACCTGGCAGCTATTTGTGCACAAGGAGGTGCCCACAAACATCCATGAGGTGAATGATTGTGGATCAGAACTAAAGTCCCTTTTTGACGAAGGATCTTTAATCTTTAACCTGAAGAACAGCAAGGTGGGATTTCAGTTCAGTGTCTGATTCAAAGGACAGCATCTCCACCTGTGCAATGCAGATAACCCCCAATACAGCACTGGAGAGGGTCAATAGAGACCATGAACTCAAGTCTTAATTTACCTGCAAAGCTTATACTACAAAGTAGCAGGGGCTTGAATTCAAAACCCTTTGGCTTTATAGGCAAAATAATTTGTTAGGGTGACCATATCAAATGCTGCCGTTATTATTGTGATAGCCAGTGTGATGTAATGGAGGGAGGGGGGGAGAAAGGGTTACACAAGAATGAATAAAATGCCCACAAAATACAAAAATAATTTGGTGGGGGGGGGGTCGCTGAACCCGCAAACAGTTCGTGGGACGAAACACACGGCCCATAATTCGCTTTCCAGTCCCTCCAATCCCGCGAAGCCCTTCGAGACGTGTCTCGACGGCCCCGATGAGGCGCGATATCAGACGCCGCGGATTTGCGAACGAGGAGGACGACGGTCATGGATTATCATCATCACTATTACGACTATTCTTCTCCCAAAAACAGTAACAACCGTAACAATAACGAGAAAACGAGAACAGTCGGGACCAGAGGACGACGAAAGATCCGAACCGGGCAGGTATTGCTTGCAAGCTGGTGATGTGAGGGGAAGGGTCACAGACAGACAGACAGACAGACAGACAGTCCAGACCCAGACAGACAGTCCAGACCCAGACCCAGACCAGACCAGTCCAGTCCGTGCTCTGGTGCAGGCGGCTTTGCGCTCCAGCTCCGGGCTTTGCGGGGCGCCCTCGCTGAGCCGCTTGTTTACCAGCAGCGAACCGAGAGGCAGTGAGTCAGAGAGAGAGAGAGAGACACAGACACAGAGCTGCTCCCGACACCGGCCACAGCCTCAGCCACAGCCAGCCGCTCAGCTCAGCCACAGCCTCAGGCCGACAGACAGACAGACAGACAGACAGACAGACAGACCAGCAGCTCCCGGGCACCGGACCCGGGGAGGGGAGGGGAGGGGAGGGGAGGGCAGCTCCTGCCTCACCCCCCGCCATCCCTTTGTGTTGTGTTGTGTTGTGGTGTTGTGTGTTTTTTGTGGCTGAGGAATTCCAGTCAATTGCCCCGAGCGCCACGCTTTGCTTTCCCCTTTACCCCCCTTCCCTCCCTCCCTCCCTCCCTTCTCTCTCTCTCTCCCTCTTTCCCACCACCCACCCACCCTCCTCCTCCCATTCCTTCCTTCCTTCCTTCCTCCTCTCTCTCTCTCTCTCTTTCCTTCAAGGGTTGCGAGCAAACGACAAAAAAAAAACCCTCTCTCTCTCTCTCTCTCTCTTTTCTCCCCTTCCCCCCCTCCTCCTCCCCCCCTTCTCTCCTTCTCCCAAGACTTTTTTTTTAAATTCGACATCAAATATTTTTGGTGGTAGTGGTGGTGGTGGTGTGGTGGGGGGGAAAGGATTTATGTTTCGTTTTCTTCCAAATTCGTGATCAAGAAAAGGCTCTCTCCCCCTCCCCCTCCCCCTCCACTACCCCCCCACCCCCCCCTCTCCAAAAAAAAGCTTTTTTTTGGGGGGTGTGGGGGTGGGGTGTGGGTGGTGGTCCACAGAACAATTCCTTTTTCTATTTGATTGAGATTTTTCCTCCTCCTCCTCCTCCTTTTCCTCCTCCTCCTTCTCCCTCCCTCCTTTTTTCCCCTTTTCTTTCCCCCCCCCCTTTGATTTTAAAAGGGATTTCTCCTGTCCCCCCCCCACACCCCACACCCCCTTCTCTCTCTGTGTGTGTGTGTGTTGTGTGTTTTTATATAGAAAAGAAAGGAATGGAGGCTGATGATGGGGAGTTCCAAGACAGCTGGTGTTTGGTGCATTTAACAATGATACACTGGCGAGGCTGAGAAAAACAGGAGAAGAAAAACAACCAAAGAGACACTGTAACAACCCTCCCTCCCTCTCTCTCTCTCTCCCTCCCTCTCTCCTTCCTTCCCATCGCAACAGTTACTTTGTTTCAGACAAAAAAAAACATCCCTTTTCGATGGTAATTGTGTAACCTCTCTTTTACACCCTCTTCACATCCCAAACCCTCCCTCATCCCTCTCCTCCCTTCTCCCTTCCCTCTTACTCTCCTCTCTCTTTTTTTTCCCTCTCTCCCCCCCCCCCCCCCTGATTGGAGATTATTATTATTATTTTTTTGGTGGGGAAAAGGGGGGTGAAGTTCACTCAAGATTTTCGTGAGCCTCCTTGTCGTTCGTTTGGTTTCTGGAGCTTTTGTTTTCGTTTTAACTGGTGAATTCATTCATTCATTAATTAATTGGGGGGGTGGGGGGGGAAAGGAGAGAGAAAAACAAACAGAACAAAAAACCCTGATCTTTCCTTCCTTCCTTCCTTCCTTCCCCCAATCCCTTCTCTTCTCCCCCCTCTCCTCCCCTCCACCCCAAAACAAATACTAGTTGTTGTTTTGAGGGAGTTGATCTCTGTTGGTGGGTTTTCCTCGTTGAGGAATGAAGACCAGATCAACAAAGAGGGGCTCGGTGACCTTGTGCTGGGGTCTGGTGGCTCTCTGCACCTTACTCACTCTGGGACAAACTAACGCTGAAAGTAAGTCCACTTGTTTTTATTTCTGTTGTGTCTTTTGAATGCCCCTTGGACACTTCTGATTGCAAACAGATCCAGTGCTAACCTTTTCCCAGTAACGCCAGAAATATATTTTATATGGATATATGTAGGTATATATATATATGTGTGTGTGTATATCGTCGCCAAAACAAAAATGTGGTTGGTTGCTTTCTAACCTTTTTAGGATGGAGGTGAAATGCCTCCTTGTGTGAGTTGCTCTGGCAAATCCCGCATGTTATTTAATGTTTAAGCTTCTCTTGGCTGTGAACAATTACTGGGATGTTGTAGTGATTTTATATATATATATATATATATATATATATATAAAGTTCGATGCCTTTGATATATCTGATGTTTGTGATCTTGCCAGTAATTTATATTTTCGTTCTAAGGGAAACTATTGTTGGAAGTTCCCATTTTTATACGATTTAAGACCCCCCCCCCCCTCACACCCCAAAAAAAGTCAACGTTAATTATTATCCAAAAGAATATGTTGGTTTTGTGGCAGAATATTCAATGTCTTGCTAATTGAAGAATAACCTCATGCAATGTTGCAAAGATCTATTTTAAATACAAGCAAAATGCTATTTCTTAAGGGGGGGGGAGGGGAAGAGCACCACAACAATCTGTAACATTCATTGAATTACTCAGTGTTTCAGTTCTCAGTAGCATGTGGCTGGTGCATCCTGCCCTGTCTTCCTTTGAGTGTGGGGAGGGGAGAGAGGAAAGAGATATTGTGGTCATGGAGTAAACATTATTATTAAGTTTTTAGAACATGAGAGGGCTGCCACAGTCATAACTTAAATATGCCAAGTAGAGTTATGGCTTCTTTTTATAGCTGGATGCCCCCAGCAAGAGAGACTACTGTAGTTCTTTCCAATCGACCCCAAATCATCACCCCCTATGGGAGTGATAGCCATCCTGCACTCTGCCTCTCTCTTTCCCCCCCACCTCCTCCCCAGTTGGTCACTTGCTGAGATTGATGCACTTTCATTTCTCTCCTCCTTTTCCCCGCTTTTGATGGTTCTCTGTTTTAGGTTTCTCCTTTTATGTTCTTCTTTTCATTTAGTTAGTTTTTTTAAAAATCTTGTTTTACATGGTTTTGTCCTTTGATTATACTGTTAAGGTTCTCTTGAGTGTTTATTTCTGTTTCCTTTTTGTTTTACTCGTACTTGATCTTTATTTATGCTTCTTTCCATCTCCCTTCCTGTTTTTCACCTCTTTCTGTCTATTCATGACCCATTTACGTCTCTTTATGTTTTACCTGCTGTTTATTCGTTATCGTTAAGGTCCTAATTTTTCCATTCTCCTTCCATTTTCTGCTTTACTAATTTCTTTTCTCTGTTCTGAATTTCTTATCTTTATCTGCCACCGTTTGTTGTCTTCTTTCTATTTCTGTCTGCTTTTCTGTCTCATCCATTATGTTTTTCTATTTCACTTTATCTCTTATCTCTCTTGATCATTGCTACTTTTTCTGTCTTCAGTTCCAAATCTAATCTTTTAACTTTTTTTTCTATTTATGAATATTTCTGACCCTTCCATTTATAAAGTTATATTTTGTTGATTTCTATTTCTTCTAAGAAGGATCTGCTTTTTTAAATTTTTTTTTGTATTTGTTTTCTTTGTTTGTTTACTATTTTGTTTTTGTTTTCCTTCCATTTCTTAACTCTTCCTTATCTGAACGGATTCAACAATCCATTCTATCTCCTTCAGGTATATTTATTTATTGGTTGTAAGCAAATCGGCAATTTATTTCCTAGTTTTCCTGTGGAAAAGCTGACTGATTTCTCTATGAACATTTTTTCTGTTTACTTATGTTATCTTCATGTTTTAATTTCGTCCTTGCTTTTTTTCTAACTTCTAAGTTATTCACTGCACAAATAACTTCTGTTTTCCCTTTTTTTATATCTCTGAATTTCTCGTAATCAGTTTTTATACCTTTCTCCCGAATATTCCTGTTTTAAATGGTCCCTTATATCTGCTTTGCTAGGTTTCTATATTTTGTGGTTGATTTCGTTCTGAATTGTTTGCTCCAAAGTTTTTATTGCTAAAATAACCCTCTGGTTTCTGTTTCCTATTTTAATCTTTCTTTTGTTTTTATTTGTCTATTAGATTTTATTTTTCTGATTTTTTTTGGTTCCATTGTTATTTCTGATATCACTTTGACTTTTTCTTCTCTCCTTGCTCTTCTGTTTTTAGGCAGACTCTTGTTATGGTAAAAACTTATAGTCTGGATTTAATACTAATCTGCAGATACTATTTGTAGTGACCAAATACAATCCTAAAGGCTGCTTGTGGTAAATTTGTTTGATTGTAATTATTCTCTTTTCCTTTATGGATAAATTTGTTTGTTATTCAATGGGAATGCTACAGATCGTAAATAATTGAACCAGTTTTGCTGCATTCAGAAGCGTTATCCTGCTTATTGGTGCCAAATCATTGCGATAGGGAAGTTGATGAACGTTAAACTGGAGTCTTTGGTGACCTAATAGGTTTTCTTGAGTTGTAACCTACTTTTATTTCATCTACCCCTGTCGGTGTGGGAATAGGGAGGTTAGCACATTGCCCATTGTGCATTAGCCCATTGCAAAATCCATTGCGAAAAGCTTTTTAAACATTGCTAGCCAGCTCTCTACATTGTACCTTTTTACCTGTTTTGGAGCTGAATTCAATTTACTAAGTAGAGAAAGGTGGAGATCTGTAGTTATTTTTGAGTATTGAACATTATGAAAATGTATTGTGAAATCCACCCTGTTGAGTTGGCATAATTGACAGTAATGGCCCTATTGGTAAAAGTCCTCTGAAGTCAGGAAGGTTTAGTTTTCCAGGGATGTCAGATACCTGAACAATCTTGTCTCAGGTGAGTTAAGTTTGATCTTTAACTGGTTACTGAATGGTGTGATGTGCAGAAGTGTGTGCAGTTCTCTCTCTGTGGGGTGAACACAATTTGTTCAAATTGTGCTGGATAAATGGAAGATGGAGGGATGGCACAGTTTTGATGGTTTGGTATTTTATTGTAAGGAAGGAAGAATAAAGACTTGGGGATGGGTACAAGATGGATTCCATTGTTAAATGAAAATTAAATGCGTTATACCCTGGCAGGTTCCCCTTTAGGTTTGGATTCTAGCTTGAGGAGAATGGTTGACTCCCAATGTTGGATGACGTGAATTTAGGTTGAAAGCTTATCTCTTAAATGGATGAGATTCACATTAGTCAAACTGGTTGCCTTTGGTTACCTTTGAAGCGGGACAGGAATCTGATGAGGTTTCCCTTCCCCCACAGAAATCTCCACTGATACACAGCGCATTTGCTTCAGCCAATCTTCTCCCCCCTCCTCATTTCCTGTTGAAATAGGAAATGTGCCAGACAACAGAAACAACTAAGCATGTAAAGGAAGGGAACACAAAGGAAGTGAGGGGTCACTTATTTGCAAGCAGTTCAATATGCTTATTTTATTCTCTGTGTTTGATCATTTTGTATGATCTATAATTTTGTCTAGCTCTGACCAATTTCATATGGTTCAGTGCTAGAATTTGTGAGTTGATCGCTAGTGTTCAAACAAATACATTGAGCTCCCCCTTCCAATTGTGATATATCTGTGAATTGATAAGTAATCATCTCAATTTGAAATAAGAATTGCAAAGTTAAACTAAGTATCGGTTAATGGATGTAGCTGGATTGGATTCAGACAACAGTACCACCTCACAGCTTTAAGTGAAGCGCATATGAGTTTACAGAATATTAATGAACAGTACGAGTCCTTAAGCCAGAGTTCTAGACATTGAAGCAGACAGCTCTACGTCTAGAACTGTCTGCTTCAAAATTTACTTTGCCTGGCTTTTTCTCACCCTTCCATCAAACTCGTTCAGTATTACTCATTGACTGCTTCAAGTGCTTTACAAGACGTTCATTCTATGTGAAAGGTGCTATATAAAGACAAGTTGTTATTGCTTGCCTTCACTCTAGCCCCTAATACAGCAGCAACAACAACAGCTTGCACTTATATAGTGCCCTCCACACAGGGCAGCGTCTCAGAGTGCTTAACAGTTGCGGAGCCTGACTCTGAGCCTGGTGGGGGCAGGTGGCTGTAAGCATGGTCGAAGAGGAAAGTCTCCAGGTGGGACCTAAAAAAGGCGAGAGGGGGGGCAAGGCAAAGAGATTCAGGGAGAGTGTTCCAGAGTTTCGGGGCATAGTGGCTGAAAGCGGGACCTTCGATGGAGGGTGCGAGGGGCGAGCAGGAGGCTGGTGCCAGTCGAGCAGAGTTGCTGGGCGGTTGATTGGGGAGTGAGAAGGTCGGAGAGGGAGGGAGGTGCCAGAGAGTGAAAGGATTTGAACACGAGCGTGAGGATCTTGAAGTTGATCCATTCGGTGATGGGGAGTCGGTGGAGCCTGACCAGAACTGGTGAGATGTGGGGAAGGAGTTTGGTCCGGGTTAGTATGCGGGCGGCAGAGTTCTGAATGAGCTGGATCTTTTGAACGGTAGAGCTGGGGAGACCATCGAGGAGTGCGTTTGAGCAGTCCAGGCGGGAGGTGACAAACACTTGCACGAGGGTTTTGGATACCTTTCGGGTAAGGTACGGTCGGAGGCTGGCAATGCAGCTGAGGTGGAAGAAGGCGGGCCTGGTCAGGGTTAATAATCTGTGTTAAAGAGCGTGAAAAAGGCTGGAAAAACATACTTGAGCACCTCTTCTCAAAACATCTTGATCACTTTACACTATGTGGTGCATATTGATTGTATTGATAACTATGTAGGCAAACTTGGAATCTAATCTGTGTCAACATCCCATGAACAGATGAACGCCCAATTCTAAATTTTGTTTTTGATGAATTTCAATGAGGAATATTGTCCAGGACATAAGGACTCTTTGCCCTTTTTCGCAAAACCACAAGAACGTGAAGACACAAAGAGTGTGTGGACATAACATTAGTGAAGTAAAATGTCTGAATGGTCTATATTTGTTCAAATCTTAGATTGTACCAAA